GAATCATAAGAAGAGAGATAAGGACCATATTAGGGACCTTATTGATATTCAGATAAATTTGATTTGCTTAGATCCTCCACTGTCATTTGCTTGGAAGTTAGAATAAGTCGATCCACTGATCAGATCAGCACATCACATTTATCCTCATCTTCACAGTCAAGAGTTTAGAGATCCGGAGGAAGAGAAACCAAGAGAGATGGTTTGCTTCTGAATTTGTCACATTCCTGTGAAAATAAAAAGGTTTGTTTTCTCTTTGCACAGATTTTTTTTTTTTAAGCACCAAAATGAAGCCTAAATTAATTTGGTAAGGTGCCCTTCTTAGGTCTTAACGTTGCTATAAAGTTTTCTGACTACATTTAAGAGGGAGGATCTTTGTTAAAAAGAAAACAACAAAAACAAATGAAATGTCAGTTTTCTTTCTGCAGAGACAGGAGGAGTTTCCATTTCTACTGACACTTCTTATCTTGATTCTTTCCAAATTTTAGTAAAGACATAAGATAAAATATAACAGCTCCCAAGGCAAAGATAACATTGTAGAAGCTCTAACAGGGCCCAACCTGCCGCTAAGTGTTGAGAATCATTCAAAGAATTTTAAACAAAAAGCTTGATTTGGGGATCATGAGTTTGCTCAATCTGCCCTCGCTGTATGACTTGTGACAGGCAGCACACCCAGGGCATCGCAATGGCCACACAAGTTAATAAAATTGCGCTATAATTTGGTGAAATGATTTTCGATGTCTGAACTATTCCTCTATAAAGAAACTATTCCCTTATCCCTTTTGAAGGGGCTGGGACCACGGAGGATTATCTGCTGGAATGCACTGGAAAGCTAGGGTGGGGAAAAAGCAGGGAAATATTTGTGAGTTCAAAAAGCTTTCTGACATCTGGTGTGTGTGTGTGTATGTGTAAAGATGGTTTAGAAAATGTGGCATTTATTTCCATCTGATTCCCGTCTGTGAGAAGTCCCAGAGCACAGTAGGCCTACAGCAGGTGCTGTAGAATTAATCCGAAGTTTCTTATTAGTTCAGAGCTGGGCTTGGGGTGAGGGAAGAGCTCTCCACTGAGTCAGACTTGTCTACAACTCCAGCTTAGTATTTACCCTGTTTCCTTAATTTTTTAAAGTTAGTGACCTGCACCCTTTTGCGGGGTCTAGTTGTGGCTTATTCTAACAAAGTCTTTGCAAATTAGGGGTGGGGGCTGCAGTGACCTCAGAAGGGTACCGGGTGCCCCCTCGCCGGCCTGGGGTCTCGAGGAAGGGGTGGGGCCTGCGCTGCGGGTCCAGCGCGGCCACCCCCTCCCTCCCCGCCCGCCGCCTGCTGTCTGCGCATCAAGAGCGGGAAACATTAGCGTGGGCCAGCTGCCGGAGCCGGGCGGGGTCTAGGGAGAGGTCAAGGTCGGCCGAGAGGCGGCTATTGATCCGGCTTGGAACGCGAGACAGCGAGCGCCGCAAGACTAAAGGGGGAGCTGTGAGACCAGACATTAACAGCTTTCAGCGCTAATGATGCCCGTGCCAGACGGGCAGAGGGAAAAAGAGGAGACTGGAGTGGCGGCGGGGATCGCTCGCTGCCTGCGCCAGGCCGCCTCCCGGGAGAGGAGGAGCAGGAGGAGGAGGAGGGGAAAGTGAAGGCGGAGGGCGAAGGGGCCAGCGCAGGGCTGGGCAGGGCAGGCTCTCCCCGGCTGCCGCGAGGTGGAGCGCGCCGGCGGGCGGCGGCGTGTCCGGCCCTGCGCCTGCCCGCCCGCGCGTCCCTCTTCCCGCCGTCGGGGCAGAGCGGGGCCAATGAGGAAGTGCTCTTTGGGTCAGTCCCGGCCCGCGCCGCCCCCTGCCCGCCACTTCCTGCCGGGGGTGGGGCAGGTGTGCCCCCTCCCCAGTCCCCGCAGCGCGACCGCGCGCGAGTTGGCAGCTGCAGCGGGGACCCCTGAGCTCCCTTGCGCAGCCGGGTGAGGGGCCCTCTTTCCTGAGAGGGCCTTCCCGCTTCCCGCAGCTACTGGCTGGGTTCCCTTTCCTTGTAATCAACCGCCGGAGGGTGAGGGTCATGTGTTGGGATTTCGCGCCTGGGGCCGCAGGCGGCGCAGGGCAGCTGGCACGCCGCGGCATTTGGAGTCCAGACCTGTCCCCGTTGTGGTGTGTGTCTTGGGCAAAGTGCTAAACCTCTCTGGGCTTCACATCTCCACTTCTCAGAAAAAGAGGGCTAATTGATCTCTTAAATCCAAGAGCCTGGGCGAATCGAGAGGACCACTTTATGAATTTCTTAAGAAGTTTATTAAAGGTGGGTGTGGGCATTAAAAAAATGTGGCCACTTCATTGAAAAGATTTTCTTGGTGGGGCGGGATGGGAAGAGAGGGATGCACTTCTAGACTTTGGACCACGTGGAGGTGTGTGCGGTGGCGGGGGGTGGTGGTGGTGTAGTTGGGCAGCTGCGTGCATCCTGCTGGGCCGGGGGAGGAGAGGCAAACCCGCCCCTACCCTGCGTCACCACCCGCTCGGCCTCAGCCTCGTGTCCGCCGACCCTGCAGCCCACAGTCCGCAGAACTGCAAGCCACGACACATTTTATTGTTATTATTTTTGGGGAGGTGGGACGGGAAGAGAGCTTTTTCTGTCCAGACTCACTCGGTGCTGTGCGCTAAGTTGTTGCGGTCGCCCCACCCAAAGCCTTAATGAAGAACAAAAAGCCCAGGTGCCCCCAGAGGAAAAGGCCCCGAGGGAGGCGGCGAGCCTGGAGGCCTTGCCGCAGCTGGGTTGAGGCACCGGGTGGGGTGGGTGCCGCGGTGCTCACCCGCGAAGCCCTGCTGGAGCCAGGCCCCAACCCGCCCAGGCCGCCTACTGGCGAGACCAGAGAAACTCTGAGAAGGTAGAGGGGTCCAGACCTTTGGCACACCCAGCCCCGCAGGCGAGGTCATCAAATAGGATAAGTTGGCAGCGACGTGGGGAAGGGCGACGGGAGGGGCCGGTGTCCGCGGGGACTGCGGCCTGGCCTTGTCTGAGGGCCACGGACAGGCCCCCACAACTCCTCTTGTCCTCGCCGGCTGGAGATCAAACGGCTGACAAGGCAGCTGTGTCCTTCCCATTCTGACAGGCAATTTCAAGTCCTATCCTGGGCTGAGGAGCAGGGGGGAGGTGACTTCCAGGTTGCAGTGATTGTCAGAGGGGGGAAGGAGGAAGCTGGGGGGCCTCGTGGAATCACCCGTCTGCAGATATGTGGCCACACCCATTCCAGGGTCAGCAAGTCCAGATACCTCTCCCACGTGGAGTCCCCCCACCCCCTTACCCCCATGCTTCTTGCAGACACTGGCATTAGGGGTGGGGCGGGTTTGACCTCTAGGAGTTAATGAGGTTAGGGAGGGCAAAGATTTGGGTGAAAACCCCTTCTGCAATGGGACTCAAAAAAAGGTCTCAGATACCTGTACCCACACACCCCACGTGCTTTTGACCGTGGCCTCTTAGTATCCTTTATTTCATCCACTTCAATTTGCCAGTCTGTACACCAGGATTTATATGGAGACACTTTTTGGAAGTTTATCCTGATCCCCCAATAAAACAAAAGTAAAAGCAACCAAGCTACTTTTCCAGGGAAGCGAAGCGATTGATTACATCTCCTAGTTCTCAGGTGGACCCCAGCCTTTTCCCACAACCCCCCTCCCCCAAGTCCGAAAGAGGTTTTGGGTGGGTGGGGACTCTCATTGATTCAATTTACTAAACTCACACAGCAACCCGCCCCCCTTCTCAGGGGGTCCTGCTCCCGGGAGGGGAAGTGGGTTGAGGAAGATTTTTCTTTTATATAAAAATATGCTGCCCACCACGCAACTCCCCTTCCCCCAGCTCTTGAGCAGCGGGTGCTCCGGGATAAGACCAGCGCACAAAAACGCGGTTTGCACGTGTGGCCGGCTTGGGCTGCGGGTGTGCGCACGGGCGAGTGTGTATGTGTATGTGTGTATGTGTGCGCGCGCGCGTGTGTCTCTGTGTGCTTTCTTGTTCTCTTACAGGGTACAATGTTAAAAAGCCACCGCTAGTCGCCCCCAGTGCTCCGACTCTCTGGGTCTTTTTGTCTCTAGTGCAGATTAAACGTCACGTCCGCACTTGAACTTGAATTTTATCCCATTGTACAGAGGCAGCCCCAGCCATAGAGAGACCGAGAGCTCCCAGAGAACCCGGACTCCGCCATCTTCACGTTGCAATCTATAGCTCCCAGTCCGCGCCCGCACCGACCCAGGCGCACTGGGCGAGCCGCCCCTCAGCCCCGCTCCCCCTGGGCCCGCGGCGCCGGGGGAGCGCTGGGGAGCGCTCGCGGGGACTCGGCAGCCCCTCCGGCCGGCGCCAGCCTGCCAGGTGAACTGGGAAGCAGCCGCTCCTGGAGTCCCCCCAGAGCCTCGGAAGGGTCAATCTCCGAGAAAAAAACAGGCAGCCCGCAGAAAACCCAGAAACAACCGAACCGCGGCAGTTTTACATTGCTTTGGGTTTTTTGAGGGGGCGGGGTAAGGGGGTACGAGACAAGTCCCCAAGTTTTCTTTGCTTTTTCTTTTTCTTCTTCTTCTTTTTTTTTTATTTGTTTGCATTTTTTTTCTTTCTCCCCTTCTGGTGGAAGTGCGCGTTCCACCTACCAGACCCTGAAAGAAAGTGTCAGGAGCCGGTGCAAAATCCGGTTTAAGTTCAAGAAGACATTTAGAAGTCCAAGAGGCCAAGCAGTTTGAAGAAGTGTAACAGATCTTTTTTCCTTCGAAAGAATATATATTTTACAGAGACCAGCCGGTCCGCGGCAAGCTACAGTTCTTCTTCTTCTTTTTTTTTTGCCTCTTTTTCTCATTTTAGATCGAGAGGTCTTTCTTGTTTTATTATTTTCTTTTTCTTTTTGCAAACAAAACAAAAAACATCATAGAAGAAAGAGCAAAATAAAGAAGAAGAGGAAAAAGAGAGGGCAAGAGAGGAAGGGGAAAAAAAAAAAAAAAAAACCAACCCGGGCAGAGGAGGAGGCGCGGCGGCGCGGCGGCAGCGGCGGCGGCGGCGGCGGCGGCGGCTCAGACCCCCTCCCCGGCCCCCATCAGTGCAGCTCTCCGGGCGATGCCAGAATAGATGCCGGGGCAATGTCCCGCCGCAAACAGGGCAACCCGCAGCACTTGTCCCAGAGGGAGCTCATCACCCGTAAGTGTCTGCGGCGTGCGCGAGAGGGGCCGAAGAATGGGGCTCTGGGCGCCCGGAGCGGGGGACACCGAGCCCGGCGCAGCCAGGCCCGGCCGGGCGCCGGGGCCGCTCGCTGGCTGGCAGAGCCAGTGGTATCCTCCCGCAGCATGGTGGGGGGCGGGGGGCCAAAGGAAAGTTTCTTTGCAGCCGGGGAAGCCGGGGCGCTGCGCAGCCACACGCGCCTCGGGGTCAGGGGCCTGCGGAGCCGGCTCCGGGCCGGGGAGGGGGCGCGCAGGCTGGAGGAGGTGTGTGTGTGCTCGCCGAGCCCGGCTGGACGCTAGCCCCTCCGAGCGGCGTGTGTGGCGGCGGCGGCGCTGGTGGCGGGGTTTGGAGAGGAGGGGGAGGGGGCTGGGGGAGCGGAGGGGGAGGGGGGAGCCGGGAAGTGGGGAAAAGTTGGCGAGCGCGTGGGTCCGCGCTGACGGCGCGGGCGGAGGAGACTGGGGTGCGCTTCGGCCTGGGGGAACCGCTGAGCGAGGGGTGGCCGCCGGCTCCCGGTTCTCGGTCGCTGAGCCCAGGCCGGCAGGGCGCCGGCCACGCCGGTCCTAGGATTCCGTAGTCGCCTTTCCCTCCCCTCCGCTGGCTATTTGCAAAAGAATCCAGCTGCGCGGCTGTTTGCCTGGCACAAGCGCCCCCCTCCCCATTTCCCCACCTCCGTCTCCTGGGACGGTCTTGCCCGATTTCCCCCACTCCAAAAGGGGGAAAAAAATGGTGGTGGGGGTGGGAATTGGGGTTGGTGAAAAATCCCCGCCACGGTGAAAAAAAAAAAAGGTTGTCAGGAGTGGGAAGAGAGGGATGCGCCTGTAAAATAGTAAAATTAAAAAAAAATTAAAAAGGAAGAAGAAAAAAAAGAGGCCTATCAATCTCTTATCCATCTATCTCAGTATCTTTCATCTTCCCTATCTAAATAAACAAGGCAGGTCGCAGCGGAAATCCACCGAATGAAATCGTGTGGATTTCAAGCAAGTGGCGGGGCGTGCAGAGTCAGGCAGCGGGTCAGACACGCAGCAGTTTCCAAGGCTCCAGCTGGGTTTATTTAGAAAAGAAAAATCGCGAGCGCGAGCGGCCCAGGTACGATGTTCCCGCTCTGTTGCACAGGGAAGGTCCGCCCGCATCGCTCCCAGCCCGCCGCAGCCCGCCGGGGACTCTTCCTCACGGCGCGCGAACATTTCCCCGCCGTTCCTTTCTGTCGCGGTGCCTGGGTCGCCGTTGCTTTTTTATTTATTTTTTTATTGCAATGGAAATAAAACATCCTCTGGGTGTCATCGAGACCGGAGACGAGTTGTATTCCTGCAGTCCTCCGCTCACCTCGCCAGGCTGGGGCCGTGCTCCGGCTCAGAGCTGGAGAGGGCTGCGCGCTCAGCCGCCGCCGAGGACTGGCTGCCGGGCGGCCGAGAGCCGAATATTTATGTTATATTTTAAAAAATTTAAATAAATAAATAAATATATAAAGGGGTTCTCCCCTCCCCTGAAAACCCAGCATAGGAGCCATCTGCTCGGAGCAATTGCTGTTGCCATCTCTCCTTTGTTACAGCAGATACATTAGTAAGAATTTGTGGATTTATTATTATTATTTGGGGGGGGGGGAGGAATAGATATTAATGTGAGCTTCTTGGGAGAGGAATGCCTTTTTGGAGGGAGGGAAGAGGACTTCTCTCTTTTTTTTTCCCCCCCGCTATTGTAACATCAAAGAAGAGTCGCTGGTTGCATTTAAAACAAAATGTTTTGCAACCAGATTTGAGCGTGGTTTGATCAAGGTCCTTTTCGCCAGTTGACATTTCGTTCCTTCACCAAGCCGCAGCAGCAATTGCTTATGCTTATTCTACAACTCCCCCCGCTTTAGATGGGGTGGTTGTTAAAACGTCTATACTTGCAGACGCCTAATTTCTCCAGGAGGCAATTTGCCCCACGGAGCCTCTGTATAATTGCAAGGGTTGTTTTTGAGGAGGGGGAGTAGGGGGGTGGGGAAGGGGGAGATGTTGGGGGTGCATTGCCGAGCTGGCAGCCGAGACAGGAACCAGGAGCCTTTGCAGTTGTGTGTGAGGGGAAAGAGGCAGGTAGGTTTGCCTGCTTTTGCTCTCCACTCTCCTGGCATTCCTGGGACGTCAGGAGAAAACCCTGGGCAGGAGGACTGGTGGCAGCTGGGCATGGGGGCGAGGGGTGCCTGGTGCAACATCCTTCCATCTGGGGAAAGCCACTGATGATACTGGAGCAGGGGCAGCGAGGGAAAGAGAAGCAAAGAAGGGTGGTGGGTAGAAAGAGGGGACGGAGATGAGGGCGTGAAGCAGTCTGCCTGCCTTCCAGGGGCACAGGGAGTCCTGGTTTGTGCAGGGGTTTAAGCAGGGAGAGTGGTCCAACCAGTTCTCAGACAAGGCTACTTATTATCCAAAAGCAGCTGGCTTTTCTGCCTGTCCTGTGTCACCCGGGAGGTGGGAGCTAGCAGGGGAAGGCAAGAATCAGAGGCAGTTGAGGCTGCCTGGCCTGGGGATTTGCCTTTCTCCAGACTGTAGAGGAGCCTTAGGGTGCTCTGGAGCTCAGGCTAGCAAAGCAGGTGCCCTTGCAAATCCCACCTGGTGTTACCATTTGAGATTTTTAAATATGAAAGAAACCACCTAAAACGAACGTAGCCTGATCAGTAGCCTGATCAGTTGGGCGGCAGCCTGCGGGCCTGTGGGGCAGCAGCCTTAGGTTCTTTAGGGATGATGCAACTTGGGCTAACTGATGGCCTGGGAAACCAGAAGAGCACACAAACAGCATCCGTGTTCTTGGTCAGGGGTAAGGAGAGGGGCTCCATAATGAGTTAGTTCAATTTACAGACAGGACTGGTGGGGAGAAGAGCAAGGTAGGAGAGAGTGAGGGAGACAGCTGGAAATGAAAACCTGGGCTTCTGGTTTGTTTCAAATGTTTGACCTAGATGAATATAGCTTTTAAAACTGGAGGACAGTCACAGCCATTAATAAAAACAAACACAAAACAACACAGTAACAATAGTGAGAGAGGACGAAAGGGGGGGGGGCGGCTGACCAGGCAGCGAGAAGGACCCAGAGCCGGCCGTGCTAGACAGGGCCAGGGTGAAGGGAAATGTACTCAAATCCTTGGAGGGGCTGGAGGCTGTCTGAAGAAACTGAATAAACCAAGATGTCCATGATAAATTATGTGACCTCAATTAAGGTGAATTTTCAGCAACCCACCAACAGGTTTCCTCGGAAGATCAATAATTTTCGGTATGAATTCATGATTTTGCAAAACAGAGACCCAGGATTTGACAGGGAAGTTAGGCTAACTGTTTTAATTCCACGGTCGCCTTTTAAATTAGCTTTTGCTGTAACTGTATGTTTTGAAGGTGGCTGTGCTTACAATTACCCTAACTCCCTAGAGGATGGTATATCTACAATGGTCCACTTATCTTTCAAAACTGGGCCTCTGATAAATTTCATAAGACATGGGCCCTCCTTTTCTTCTGTTATTATTATTTTTTTTCTTTTTTGGTAGTTGGGTGGGGACAGTGAAGTTTGTCTCCCTTCTGCACAGAAGGGAACCCCATATCATTAGAAGTGTGATATGTCAGCTGCTTCGATTCCACGGGAGAATAAGAACGTGCTCATGCAAGGTGTTATGCCAGGCTGGTTTTATTCATTTGTAATTCACACCTGAGAGAAAACAGTCGTGAGCATATTTTAACAACTCCTAATATTTTTAAAGGGTATTTTTTTCCTACCTGAAGATTTTGTACTTAGGCATATTTCTTTTTTTTTGGGGGGTGGGGGGTGGGGAGTGTTGTTATCTGCCTCAGCCTTGATATTGGTGGTTCTGCTTGGCCTTCAGAATATTTTATACCCAAAAAGAAACCATTTCTCCAGTTCTAGGGCAAACACGGTTGTGTCTAGAAGCGGGCCTTAGAAGCATCCAAGGGGGCTGGGATCAGAGGGTTGGGTGAGATGCACTGGTGACCACTGTGTAGACCCAGGGGGTTTTCCTTGATCGAACAGGGGGCCAATTTTGGGTGCATTTGACAGTAATTAGAATGATGTCTCAGGGGAAATGAAGCATGTAAACAGTCCGATTGCGGATCCCGGTTTCCGACTGAGGAGCGAGCATACCAGTTTCCAGGGCCTTACCAGCAGGGCACTCCTGGCTCTGTCTTACAGGCCACACGGCTTGTACCGTGCCTTCCCTTCGCCCTGTGCATCTCCTATCCCGATTGCTTTGCATTCTCTGTTGTTTGTTGTGATAAAATACTTTCCAAAATAAACTTTCAGTGGAATTGGCTTTTGGTTCATGGCAAGCCTGAAATACCGAGCTTCGCCTAGCGCCGCTCGGCAGCTAGGGGGAGCTCGGTGCCCGTGTCATGGCTGGTGGCGCCCCTGCTACAATGGCTAGGAATGGGCTTCCATCAGCAGCCGGCAGTTTACGTTGCTGCAAAATGTCTTAAGTGTGAAGTTGTAATATTGATTTTCCTGTAGAGATTCGTGCAGGACAAAATGAGAATATAAGTTTGAGAAATCTATTTTCAAGCCATCGCCATTGATTTACAAGCCTTTCCTTGGCAGATGGAGGTATTTTCTTTTTCTTTAATTTTCTTTTTCTTCTTTTCTTTCTTTCTTGCATTTTTTTTTAACAATTAAAATTATTAGTTTTGGATGAGTGTGTTTTCCTGATTTATCTGTGGTCTTGACATTCTGAAAATGACACTCTGTTGTTAAGGCATTTGTGATCCAGCTGGGGGGTCGGGAAGAGGGTTCATCATTTTGAGTAAGGCGCACCGTCTCTTTCTGGGTTGCATGTTACAGATCTGGGGACACAGAGAATCGCTCCATTGGGGAGTTTTGTACCTAAAACAGTTTGATGAATGGAAATCCTTTTAGCTCAGAGTTTATAACACTTGGGTTCTCAATTCCACTTATTAGGTAATGCTCCCCCTGTACTGGAGGAAATAGCACTATTCCCCAAAGATATCAGATGCC